GAAGCGGGGGGGGGGGTTAAATCCCCGCTTCATTTGCAATTGCGATGTGTCCAATTTGCATCCCTTTTACGGAAAAGGGATGCAGTCTAGACACAGCCACAGATGGTATCATGAGCTTTCGTGGGCAAAACCCACTGCTTCAGATGCCTGGAGCATTAGAACCAACAAATTATGTTTGTCTATTCTATGTGTCTGATTCTTAACTATATTTTCTGCTAATTTGCCTGGTACTGACATTAGACTTACCGTTCGGTAATTGCCAGGATCGCCTCTAGAGCACTTTTTAAATATTGGTGTCCCATTAGATATCTTCCAGTCATTAGGAAGAGAAGCTGATATAAGGAATAGGTTACAAACTCCAGTTAATAGTTCCACAATTTCACATTTGAGTTCTTTCAGAACTCTTGGGTGAATGCCATCTGATCCTGGTGACTTGTTACCATTAAGTTTATCAATTTGTTCTTAAACCTCCTCTAATGACACCTCAATCTGGTACAATTCCTCAGATTTGTCACTTAAAAAGAATGGCTCAGGTTTGTGAATCTCCCTAATATGACATGAAGACTGAAACAAATAATTTATTTAATTTCTCCAAAATTACTTTATTGTCTTTGATTGCTCCTTTAGCATCTTGGTCGCCCAGTGGCCCCACTGGTTGTTTAGCAGGCTTCCTGCTTCTGATGTACTTAAAAATATTTTGCTTTATTACTTCTATTTGTATGTTTCTGCATGTTCTAAGTCTCTCTGTGTAAATTTGTATTTACTTGCATATACATACATTTCTGTGTGCATGGAGTTAAATTTCATTTTATTGTTGACTGAATTCCTTCATGTGCACATATTAGCATATTTCCAGAAATGTTTACAAAAATTCCATTTTTGGCTTTCCAATCTCCGTCCACGTATTAGAATAGCTAGCATATATTTGCATATAGCTTCATCAATGGGTTTATTCCTCCACATCCATAAATTTGCAGATTTTGCATCTCTTTGTGAATGGCATATATTTTCATATATTATGTGGGCCCATTCATACTGATTTTGTTAACCTCTGTGCATCTTTATGCATATGTCAGAATAAAAACTATCCAATTTTAATATATAATAAGATGTATGTATCTATATATAACATTGTATTAATTATTGCATTACTATTTGGCTGTGTCTACACTGGCAAGATTTTGCGGAAAAGCAGTTGCTTTTGCAGAAAATCTTGCCGCCTGTCTACACTGGCCGCGCGGAATT